GTTCTGAAAGTGTTGAGGGAAATGCTATAAAATAGTGAACCGGCGAACAGAATCTGATTTGAAAAAAGAGGAACAAAATGTACTGAAACAGGCAGTGATTCTCGAATTATATGATGTAAATGCGGCGCCTGTCGAAAAATATCAGCCGGAATCAATTATTAGTTGTGTAATTTCAAATCGGGATGATTGAAGCTGCTTGCTTGATTTAGTTGTTTGTGTTGATGCCTAGACTTTGCCTCACCAGTTGATAATATAAGTTGAGCTCAATTATTTGCATTTGAGTTTAATTATATTTGGATTCTGCTTTCCTTACCTCCCTGAGGTTAACTGTAAAGAACTTTTGAGTTCATCTCTGAGTAAAGATATGGAGAATGTTGTTACTTTCCCTTTTTAGCTGTATCTTAAGCAGTAAGGAGTATATTGTTTATGCTGATTGTGCGACAGATGGTGGAAAGAGGCCCAGGACTCGTCTTCTCCAGACGTAAAGAAGGGAATCCCGTATGCTGCATGCCCTTCTTCTCTATACGGGGGTCCGATGAAGATATTCAACAATATATTCAGCTCAGATATCGCGTTCAACCTAAGGAAAGAGGATGCATTGTCATGCAATGCGGAAAGTGATGAAGCGGGAGAGTCATGTAGAGATTACGCACTGGTCCCTGGCGACATGTGGCTTGAGGCGCTCAAATGGTAGGTGACGTGGAATCCCTACTAGATCCGTTTGTAAATTCTGTTACGTAAGCTTCGTATGATTGGGAATTTGGGATAACTACAAGAACTACCCTAGTGTTTGGTCTAATCATAAATAGAACCTGATTCTTACGAAACTAAAGATACTCACTAGTTATTTCGGACACGCCTTGAGTTTTGTTTTTTTCTTTAACAGATATTCCAGCATAGATGATATAATTTTTTAAATAGAAACAAATATCTTGAGTACTTATAAGTTGGAAAAGTAGTTGTATATTTTCTGTAATTTGACAAAACCTTGAGAGTGTTTTTCGTAATCATCCCTACTTATTTGACGTGGTAGATTCTTGTGGCATACCATATGTCATATGTGGGAGATTTCCCATGCACTTGCACGTCACTGAAAGTGTTGAGCTGGAATTCAGTGTATCCGGTGGTGAAAATACAAAGTACTCCAACCGTTGATTTTATTGGATACTTGACAGAACAATATTGTGTTCATTTACTGCTCATTTTTAGGAAACTGAAGAACTAGTTTTCAGTAATTAATGAGTGGAGTGAAGATTAAAATAGTGTTAAAAATGTTGTGTTGGAAACCACCGAGCTCTATTGGAGCTTTGGACAGGGAGTAAAACAATTTATTAAAATTCCATATATTGAATTAACCTTAGAAAGTGTAAAACTGGAACAAATCATTTTGAGATCAAATGATTTATGAATGATGTTCTTTGTTCTTGTGTATAAAGCTTAAACGACTGATAAAGGAAAAATAGGGAGTAAAATGTAGGCGCAAAGTAGTTCCACAAATGTTAATCCACTAGGTATCTGTCTAAGCCTGCCAGAATCTTCCATGATTCATTATTTTCTATTTTGTAATTTTTATGTTACTCTTGCCAGTCCGACAATCTTTTTTCAGCTGTTTGTCTACTAACAAAGGTTGTTAGAACCTGCCTGGTCCGGCCAGTCAGAATGGGGAATAGATCACCTGGCCGGCTAGGTTGAACAGTTGAAAACCTATCAAAAAGCCGGCTAATGAAATCACTTTTTGTATATTTTTATCATAAATAAAACATATATGTATGTAAATATATATTGGATATGTCTAAATTATTATATTAATTAATTTATGCATTTTCATCTTGTAAATTCTCTTAATATGCAATTAATGATGTTTGTATGTATAAAAATTCATTACTTAGAAACACTATGTAATAGTCATAAACATTAATACATCAAATACCGGTTAAAAAATTCTAGTGCGACCAACCATTGTTTGACCGGTTCGATGACTGGTCCCTTTTTGAGAGCCTTGTACAAGCGTTGCATTTGGAAGATGTTAGGCTCTGTTTGACACTTTTGCAAGCTCTAAGCTGGAAAGCACACTTGCGTGGATTCAATTGTTACATTGTCAGACGGACATTATATTGATTGCTCTGAAATGAAGTCAATTTATTTCTTTCTTTCTTTTTTTTTTCTTTTTTTCTTTTTTTGTTTCCTGGTTCTTTCAATCCCTTTGTCCTCCTTCTGTGTGCTATCCAGGCACAGTAATTCCAAAAGTTCATCAAAGGAAAGAAAAGGATTTACAGCTGCAGAAGATGATATGTCAGATGTGTATCCACTTCAACTTAGGCTTTCTGTTCTCTGGGAAACTAATGTAGTGGCAGTCAAAGTGACCAAAAAGGTTAGTACTTCCTGAGCTGGTCTCTTAGTATTTACTTCTTTTTCATGATATATGAAATGGCAAAACTTACAATGGGATGATTGTTACTGTTGTTCACTTCTTTGTCCTTTCCTTGCTGGCGTCTGCTCAACGCTCTCCTTTTTCTTTTTATTCTATTTAACGTATGTTGATGGAAGAACCAAAATGTTTTTAAGTAACATTGTACTGAAAATGAGTATCTTGCAAGGTACTGTTATTAATTGTAGAACTTTTCTGAATATTTATTTAGAGTATGCATGTGTCAATATCAGGTCAATTAAGGCTGATGCCTGAGAATGGGAAACAATATTGCTAATGCCACTTTACATTTATGATCTTCTTGTGCAGGTTTTACGTAAGTTCTTGATCTGAGTTTCCTTCTTGAGTCGTACACATTTATTCCGATTTATAAGAAATGGAACTTGATTATCGAACCTCCAACCCTTGGTGGTTGGTAGCTTTTTAAGAATAATAATAATAATAATAAAAAAAAAAACTCCTTAGATGCTGTGCCAGTGGGAGGTACTTACTTTTTGCAGGCCGATCACCTTAAAGAATTGTTAGGGAAATTCCTGAGTGACCACTCAAAAATTTTTAGGCCATCTCCTACTAGCGCATTCCTAAGGGCGTGCTTGTTTATGAAATAATTCAATCAAAATGAGTTATTTTAGTTAACTAGTGTTAATTTTGAAAAATGTGGTATGGTTAGTTGTCAGTGAGATCTTAAGAATGTATTAAAATAATATTTAAAATAAAATGATTAAAATTGATTTGAAGTAAAAGTATGAGATAAATGATTGAAAATGATAGGTAGTTAAAATTATGTGAGTGGATGAATAGTGAATTAAAGTTGATGTGATGTGTAAGAATGATTGGTTTGTATTATTTAGTTATATCAATAATATTAAGGATAGTGGGGTTGAAATAAAGTTGGGTTAGATTTTGAGTATGAATTAAATGTGAGTAAATTATTTTATAAACAAGCATGCCCTAACATTTTACTGTATTTTTCTCATGTGATGAACTCACTGAAGTTGCATCAATGATGGAGTTTCATATTGTTGTAATCTGGCATTATTGCAATGGTAGCTTTAGCACTCATTGTTGTGTTCTGGCATTATACAGTATACATTCTGTATTGCATTTAATTGATCATGAAAGGAAAAGATAGACATAGACATCTTGCTTAAAAAATAGGTAAAGTAAATGTTTTATCAATGTATTGACTTATATCCCCTTTGATTGTTTTCATATGTATCTGCATAATGTTTGCTATACATACATGCCAAAATGGTCATGAAAGGATGGTTTGAGTTACTTTGACTACATTAAATTAAGTTTAACGATTTTCTCGAAGTAATCAGTTTTAGTAAATTCTCGAAATCTTTATTGTAGATTTTCTAGGTAACTTTTTTTTTTTTTTTGGTTGGAGAGCTTCTTTAAGTTCCTTTTGGCCTTAATTCCAGGAAAATTCAGTTGAATGCTTCAGAAGAGCCTGCAAAATTTTTAATATGGAAGCTGAACCTGTGAGTTTAATACAATTGCTCATTATGTACCCTTTTCTTTATTGGAAACTGACGATTAATATGGATGCTGAACCTGTGAGGTTAATATCACTTGCTCATTATGTAACCTTTTCTTTATTGGAAACTGACGGTTAACTCCACACCTCATCAGATACGGGTTTGGGATTTTTCTGGGCAGACAACGCTGCTTTTATTGACTGACAAAAATAAAAACTTTCAAGAATCTCAGAAGCAAACAGAACAGGATGTAAGTACCAGATCCCATGTGATCTGCATCAAATGATATCATATTATTCCATATGATTATGCATCTCTGACTTGTTGAACCCACCCCACTTTCTCTTTGGAATTTGGAATTTTTAAAATCCAGTGTTGTTCTTGATAACATCTTTTTCTTTTGAAATTTGGGCACAAAGGCCATGACATATGTGAAATTGTGTATATTTAGTGGTACATAACAGGTCCATTAAGATGGCTCCCATTCTCCTGCGGAAAAGAAAAAAAATACACGACATGATTTGATTTTCTTTTGCTTATAGATTTTATTTTTCATTTTATTTATTTGCATATAGACAAATTTTACACGAGTGCTATGATTTTTATATGTTCTTGCAAAAATTCTTACGGTTTTACTTTTCTATTTATTGGATATTACTTTTAACTAGTTTAACTTCAATTGACTGATCAATGACGCTGAGAACAGAGTTTCAATATAGGTTCTTGACCTTTATCCTACTTATAATCATCTATTTTAACCTTTTTTTTTTGGATGAATTATTAGCCGACCCCACTTAGTGGGATTGCTTGTTGATTGGTTGATTGATTGATTTTGTGGATGATATGCAGCTGCTCCTTGAGTTGCAAGTTTACGGGTTGTCAGATTCTCTTAGAAATAGAGGGGCCAAAAAAGATGATGCTGGAACATATTCTTATGGTACTTCATATTTGATGAATGGTAGCACTACCAACAGTAGTTCTAGTTCAGCCCGAAGCAGTTCATGTAAGCTTCTTGGAAATTCATTTGAAGCTGGTACGTTGGGCCTAACTGGATTACAAAATCTTGGAAATACCTGCTTCATGAATAGTGCTTTACAGTGTTTAGCACACACGCCAAAGCTTGTTGACTACTTTCTTGGAGACTACAAGAGAGAAATAAATTCAGAGAATCCTTTAGGCATGAAGGTTTGGTCTTGAAATTAACTAAGATATCAGAATAGCTATTCTTTTGCATAATTGTTCCTTTCTGTTCCCTACATGGTTATTCTCTTTCGCTTTTTTTGAGGTCGTTTCCTTTCCATTGACAGATTTTGCCTTGAAATATAAATCATAGAATGCCAGACTTGATACCTTTAAGGAATTTTCCATATATACCTTCTTTATTAGTTAATTATATATAGTTGTCTTTTCCTGAATGATGTATAGGAGAGCTTGTGTAGGACTGGGTAAGTTATCCTGTGTGTAGATAATTTAATGGAAAAATTAAATCGATCAGTTGGCTGTCTTTCTATTCCTATGAGTTGTATTAGTAGGTCTTTATTTTTCAAATGATAGGATACTTGCTTTTAACAGGGTGAAATTGCTTCATCGTTTGGAGATCTTATGAAGAAATTATGGGCCCCTGGAGCAACTCCTCTGGCTCCAAGAACATTTAAATTGAAGCTTGCTCATTTTGCTCCCCAATTCAGTGGTTTTAATCAGCATGATTCTCAAGTATGTAAATCTTTGAGTGAAATACATATTCTGTTTGCTCGTCCAAATTTATGTCTCAGATAGTGTCATCTGTTGAAAGTGGTGCAATACAATTTCCAACCATATTTGCTTGCTGTAGGAGCTGTTGGCATTTCTCTTAGATGGTCTCCATGAGGATCTGAATCGTGTGAAATGCAAACCTTATGTCGAAGCTAAGGATGCCGATGACCGCCCAGATGAAGTAGTAGCTGACGAATATTGGAAGAATCATCTAGCTCGGAATGACTCTATAATTGTTGATATCTGTCAAGTAAGTGTCAATTTGTAATTTATTCAAGTCATATACTCATTTATGTAAACAGTTGTCCCTTTCTAGAGATATTGTTTGTATTTTGTCATTTGATAGTAGAAAGAGCTGAAAGCTCTTATTAGTGTACTTGAGTGAAGCTGTCAGTTCATTCTATCTTTTCTCGATTATTTGAAAATGCCTGTCTACTTAGCAACTTGTCTTCATCTGGTAATAAAACCTGATATGCATCTAATTTATTGAATCAGTTCCTCCAACTTTTTGTGATAAACTCCATAGATAAGAAATTGTATGTTTTGTTTAATTGTCTTTTCATTTTTATTTACTAAATTCTGGTGGATTACTATTATTGCAGGGCCAGTACAGGTCCACATTAGCATGTCCGATTTGTAGAAAGGTGTCTGTTACTTTTGACCCATTCATGTATCTCTCTTTACCTTTGCCGTCATCATCTATGCGGACAATGACATTGACTGTGATAAAAGCTGATGGCAGTAGTAAGCCATCTCCGTTCACTGTTACTGTGCCCAAGAATGGGAAGTTTGAAGATTTGATCCAGGCTTTGAGCACAGCCTGTTCACTGGGGGTTGATGAAACCTTTTTGGTGGCTGAGGTAACCATAGTAATTACAGTGATACATTAGTAGACATGGCCAAGACCCGGACTGTCCCGTTGACCCGGACCATATCAACCGTTTTATTAACCGAACCCTTACCCCTTAAGGGCCGGTTATAGCCGGGCCGTTTCCGGGCCCAGCATTTGAGTCCTGCCGACCCGGCGGTCCTGGCCGGGTCGTGAACCGGCCCGGCTTTTGAACACGTCTATACATTAGTAGTGTCACAAGCCAGTATAGTTTCTTGTATTATTTATCATTTTTCCTATTACATAGTTTTTTATGTCCTTTGCCCTTGTCTCATGTCCAGATATACAACAACCGCATCATACGGTTTCTTGAAGAGCCCACCGATTCATTATCTTTAATCAGAGACAACGATCAACTAATTGCTTACAGGTTACCGAAGGATGACAAGGAAGCTCCTCTCTTCGTGTTTATGCATCAGCTGGCTGAAGAGTGAGTTTCTATGCAATGCTTTCTCCCTAATTTGCAAGTTTTTCCAGACACATTGCTAGTAATTATATTTTTTAGATGTATCTATGGGAATGGATACAACCATGTTGACTTCAATTTCTCTTCATCAGTTTAGATTTAAGACACCTAACTTAAAATGTCACAGAAAATTCATTGCTGGGAAATTAACACTTAGTTGGAGAGCATTTGGAGTTCCTCTTGTCTCACGCCGAAGTTTCACAGATGGCTCTGATATTCGTGCAACATATGCAAAGCTGATTGCTCCATTCCGGGTGACTTATCAAGAGTCTGGCGAAAATATTGATAAGATTGACATAAGTGACACCAGTAATGCTAGATTAAGTGGGTCCCCTGATACATCTGATAAAAAAGAGACTGATGCTGATTCTGGTAACGATTTTCAGTTTCACTTTTCGAATGAAAAAGGATCAGAGACCGGCTCTGAGATTGGAATGGGAGAGCTGGAAAAGCCCGTATTCATGCCTGAAAGACTGTATGTACTCGTATCTTGGTCAGACAAGATGGTGAAGCTTCACAATGTCGAGCCTCTTAACTTGCTTCCGGAAGTTTTTAAGTCTGGATTTTTCACGAAAAGGCCACAGGAGTCCATCTCGCTGTATAAATGTCTTGAAGCATTCCTTAAGGAGGAGCCTCTAGGCCCAGATGATATGTGGTCAGTATGCCATTTCCAAATAGTTTCAACTTAGTGTAGTTGCTTAATTTAGTCGCATTTGTTATGTTTATATCTTGATTAAGGACATTGTGGTCAAATTGACGTGTCTTCATTCCTTAAGGATACACACGCTTTCCTGTTGTAGTTTAGTCATTGAAGATTGTTAACTTTGCCTGTAGACAACTTGTCCCTGCATAACTTGGAAAAATAAGTTTAATCAAAGTTCAGGATTAGTGTTAATAGTGATGCATTTTGTAATTGTCATTAGCTAAAAAGTTATAGTATCTTGCTTTAAATTTTTCATCATTTTTGTCCACGTTGCAGAATATGAACATTCAGTTCTCGTGACTTGTGTTTAATGTCTATTGTTGAGTACATAAAAAAGTTAATTTTTTACGTTCTAGCATTCGTTGACATTAACCTTTACCCAGCATTATTATCCAATTTATCATGTTTATTTTCCCTTGTTACTTTTGGAAATCATATTCTAATTCCGCATTAAAAATTGGGTTTATCAATCTGATATATTGAGTAACTTACTTATAATTTACTTATTCCTCAATAAATGTTTTATTGTTAGTACTCAATTCACGTCATCTATGCTGCCCTTTCTCAATATTTAGGTACTGTCCTGTATGCAAGAAGCATTGTCAAGCTGGCAAAAAATTAGATCTCTGGAGATTGCCAGAAGTTCTGGTGATACATTTGAAAAGATTCTCATACAGCCGATTCCTGAAGAATAAGTTGGAAACTTACGTTGATTTCCCCATTCATGATCTCGATCTGTCTGGTTATATTACCCAAAAGGATGAACAATCTCCTCACCGGTACATGCTTTATGCTATCAGTAACCATTATGGAAGTATGGGAGGCGGTCACTACACAGCATTTGTACATGTAAGTTTTTAAAATTTTCAGCTATGTTGATATATGTATTGTTGTCCATTGCAAATGGAGCTGGAAGAGTCATTATTGACAATTCTCCTGACATAGTGCTAATAATGGACTAGATTAAAATGGCTCAATTAAATTCTAGTGCTTCTTCTATTAGTGAACTTTCTAGAAAAAAAAATATATCAAATGACGCAATGCACCTTGGGTCGCTACGGAGACAGCCTCCTTGTATAATTACAAGGGTAAGGTCTGCATACAACTGACACCCTAGACCCCAACCAGTTGGGAATATACTGGGTATGTTGTTGTTGTTGTTGATATATGTATTGTTCCCATGTTTCACCAGGTGCCTTTTGTGTCAAGTGACACAAAAAACGCTCTAACTTTTCTGCTAATCTTGGGTCATTTGCCGTTACTTAGGGCTAATTTCTACTATTTATTAGTATCAACATAGCTCAACTTTTTCGTCAGTCTTAAAAAAAAAAAAA